ATCCTTCCTAATATCTCTGCCTGCATGCAAGTTCATATTACTACTACTTTTAAGGGTGGTTTAAAATTTAAATGTCAAATGGCATATATACTGAAGGCAGAGGTTTCCACTACTCTCCCCTTCTACTTGGGCAACCATTTCTGCATAGCCATAGGGAATCTAGAAGACAATTCTGAATCCGGGCACTTAATTTAAAAACGCCATGTTAAAACAACAGGCAGTACATGGTGGTGTAACCATAACTTTTAGCAAGCTAAAATTCAGCTAAATTGGTTTCTATCACAGCTGTAAGCTACTCAACTGTAAGCAACTTTATTTCCTTACAGTAGTACTTCAGCTTTACTGAGAACAAAGGAAAGCTCTGGGTACCTCCAAAGGATTTCTAACAGAAAGCAAAATCTGCCACCTTTACTTGACTTACTTAAATGAGGGATCTGATTACTGAACAGCCTTGAGACACATAGTGTGGAACAAGCAATTTATGTGAAAGGCAGCATTCCTGAATCCTATCACAAAAGCCTGTTCTTTCTGTTTCAGGCCTTGTAAAGAGTTATTCACTTTACTGGCCATGTAACAAACTATTTACACACTAAAAATGTCAGATTTAACCCCTACTTAATACTCTCTGGTCTTTGGAAATTGAAGCTTTCTGCTTTGCAGCAGGAGCAATTATGTTCCAAAATGCTTTTTTATTTGCGTGTTTGTTCATTGTTTTTTTAAGAGATTGTGAAATGTTTTCACAAAGCCAGGCTGGTGCCGGGCAAACTCTTGATGCTGCACACCTAAATGCAGACCAAAGCCTGTTAGACATGGCAAGCAGTGAGTATTTTATCTTATTTATCTTACAGTTGAAAACAAACTTAGAACAAACCAAAATGGAGCTGCACTCAGAGACTGCAGGCTCACTCACCAATGTGAAAGAAATTGCCACTTGAGGCAAGATCTGTACTTCTCTAACTTCTGTCTGCTTGTACCTGGCTCTGCGCAGCCACTTCGTCAGTCAGGAAATATCAGAGAACACAAAGACACGTTCCCTTTCCCAAGGGAAATCCCAATGTTCACCCTGCCTCTAACACCAAAATTCCCCTATGCAACAAAAAGATTAAGCAGACAGACTTGCATGGACAATGCAACATTACTCTGCATCAGGAACTCTGAAAGTAAGACAAACATTATTATAAAATACATTAGTAATTAAAAATCCTCTTAACATCTTCAAGGCCAGGTTGGATGAGGTTTTGAACAACCTGCTCTAGTGGTAGCTGTCCCCTTACATGGTAGAGCGGGTTGGACTATCATGATTTTGAAGGTCCCTTCAACCCCAATCATCCTATGATACCAAGCACACACTGTCCAAATCTGAGAAGTTCTATACTATCTTTGCATATTTCCATAATACAGGGAAAGAAAGTTTGATAAAGAGGGCAGAAAGCCTAAATGCAACTTCAATAATTACAGCACCCAGAGAACAAGAGACAGTGATAGGAAAAACAAAACAAAAAAGCCCAAAAAACTCTTTTCAAACTCAATTCTTTGAAAATGGATGCAAAAACCATTTAATAGGCAATCAAAAAAAAGAGGTTCAGAGAACGACATAATATAAAAAGTGAATTATTTTGATACAGTACTTTCTAGTCTTATAAATAAATCTGGAGGCTTTTATTGAATAAGCTTTGTGCTACTAAAAACATACACACTTCTAATAGAAAAGGTACTGTATGTTTTAATTGAAATCAAATGGCTGCTCTAGGTGTAAGAAAACATAAAGGCTGCTCATCAAAATATGAGTTGTTTACATGCTGCCAACAAACACTTCATGTTTGTTGCTGCAGCAATAATTAAGTAGCTGCTTGGGTGACAAAACCAACCACAACCCCTAAATGAACAGTCAGTACTCTTTTTTTATTTGAACATTTAATCTCATGGCTCATCTTTCACCATTAGTTAGGAACTTCCTTTTCCTCTCCAAAAAATCAGACGTGAGCAAAGACACTGAAGATTTCCTTGGAAGCTTAAGTTTTAAGCTACAAACACACCACTGAATTTGGATTAATTCTGTGGACAGGCACTTTAAACAGTTTGTATAGATTTGCCATTTGATGGGAAATGTAAATATGACTGACTAAACAAAAACTAAATAGGTCAGATACCCAAAATTAGTATTTTAAAGGTTCTTGTGTTCAGTTCCTCCATGTAAGGCTTTATTCTGACAATACATATCATCATGTATTCAGAGTCAATAAATAGTCTCAATTATTTTTTTCTACTCTTCCTCTACCCATGAGGAACCATACTGAAGTCAGCAAGATTCAGCATAGATGCTAAAATTACTCATATAAAATAGATTGGAAAATAGGATCGGGGCCTAAGGACACTAACTTAGGAGAAGAACCAAAAGTCACCAGCAAAGTAAAATCTGAAAAGAACATTAAGTGAGCAGTTGGGTTAGCAGGTTACTGGTTTCTTGCCTTAAACCAGTAACTGATTTGTTACTGCCAGGACATATATTTTTCTTGGTGTACTACTACAGAAAATCAAAAAAGGCAATACTAATTTTTTTTTTTTAATTAACCTCCAATATAATATTTTATCTCAGAGTGTTTTAATGAAAGGCAGAATGTAAATTGAAACCTCCAATATACAGTTTTCAGGGTTAATTCATGTCATATAGACAGATCAGTGCTGGCTACAAAAACATCCAAGAAGTGTCACCTATCCCTTCTTACCACCACTATTTGGTTCTAACCATTTATTAGTGAATCAACACTATTTTAAACAGACAATCATTAAGTTATTGCTCTGATTGTCTTCTGTATTATTTTTCCAGTTGGGAGAAAATAAGTCCATCATTCACTGTGCTGCTTCAATACTTTATTTCAGGTTTCTGTCTAACCAAGGAACAGAAAAGCCCACACACTTTACTAATCAACTCTACCAGGCCAACTAAGCACTTTTAAGTGTTGTTTCTCCAACTATGAATTTAAAAGCATTAAGTCTTGTAACTTGTCTATAATTAATAAACAATACTAACAATAACAACTGGATATTCTTGTAACTATCATTTAAAGAAATCATTCCTTCCCTTTAGCAAAAACCTATGTTTTGTATAGGTCAAGTGACAAAAGACAAAGTGACACCCACAAAGTAAAGTCTACTCAAGCAGACATCAGAGCAGAGATTAAAGTTGTAAATACACTGTACACGTACCAAAGATAGAACTACAGAAGTCCAAAAGTTCAACCCACCCTTGCTAAGGCCAAATATGCCCAAAAGACCTACCAGACTCATTACACCTGGTTAATATATGGCTATATGACTGTAAAATTAATGATGGAGTCATTAGGAAAAAAAAACCTGCTGTCCACATGACATTACAGTATTATTTGTGCATCCATCTGAGGATAATCCAGATTTCTCTCACTCTTCTGTCACTCAAGGAATAGTAGCAATAATGACAAAAGCAGTCTTGCATTAACTGAAAAGCAAAATATATATATAACACACCCATAACCCATCTTCTGGCACAGGAAAAATCTCATGAAAAGTTGACCACAATGATCTTCTGGGGTCCCTTTCAACCTCAGCTATTTTATGATTTTAACTTAGCTCCATCATGACACTCTACATCCATTAAACTTACCTTCAGCTACAGATACCAAACACCTATCTGCTCCCCCCTGTTCTGGCTGGGTGTAGCCCAACAACACGACGCATCACAGGGATCCAGGCTGACTTTCACAGTGGGTAGGTAGAGTGGGCTGCCTAAGCATGCTCCCAGACTTTTTCAGGGACATAGTTCACTCCTCAAGCTCCTCCAAGGATAGAGATCAACTAATAGTGCAGCCTCTCCTACAAAAAGGTTTATCTTCTGCTCTTTTCTGAGGAAAGGAGGGGTTGGGTCACCTTGTACACCCAAGAACATCCACCAATTCTGGCTTCAGCACAGGTGCTTCTACATCCTTATGCGCTCTATCAGGTCCAGTTACTAGCAGCTACTCTTTGTTCTGATGAACAGCATTAGACCCACTTGTTCTCCAGTCTTGTTTCCAGCCCAGATGGGACAGTGCTTTTGGGAAAGCACAGTTACAACTGCCCACAAGCACTGGCTGACCCCAATTCCAGTCTGCTGAAAGTCATTCCCAAGCACAGTTGTTAAACTTGAAATATTAGAGGACATCCTACCTCTCCAGATGTCCTGTGAGAGGAAGTCATTACACTTACTCCCATCTCTTGTTATTTCTGAGCTCTTAAAAATAGATAGCGAGGAAAAAAATTCCTGTAGCTACAGCACAATTGGAGATTTTTTCCTTCTCTGCTGAAAACAAGCCCTCCAACATGCTGGAACAGAATGAGGCACCTGTCTGGAGCTCCCCAGCAAAGCAATTTATTTCAGTTTAACATCCTGCTTTTTTCCCCCCCCCGCTCATATATCTTCCTACCACCCCAGGCAGCCCGACTCAGTAACTGCCTGGTCCATCCCAGGAACACCGGGGGTGCTGGGGGCCTCGTCACTGACCGAACTGCACTTATGTGGGCGCTGATGCTTGGCTGAGCAATGACAAAACAAACCCTTCCCTGCTTCACGCCTCAATTGGTGCAGCGCCCTTTCCAGACGGAGAAAAAGGGCACCGGCGGGCCGGGCCCGGGGCCGCTCCTTGCGGGAGGCGAGCCAGCCGCCGCCCCGGGCGGGCAGCGCTCCCGGGCCTCCCTGGATTTTGATCCCGAGCAGCCACGTCCGCGCGGCGACAAAGCCCGGCCTGACCGCTGTCACCTCCCCACCCCTCCCAGCCCGGCCTCCCCAGCCGGAAGCCGCGACCGCCCGGCGGCTGCGGCGCGGAGCCCCGACCCCCGCGGCACATCCCGCCGGGCGAGGCGCAGCGAGCCCCGCCGCGCCACCTCCCCAGCCCAGCCCAGCCCAGCCCAGCCCAGCCCAGCCCAGGCAGCGGCGGGAGCAGCGGGACGAGGCAGAGCCCGCGGCGGCGGGCGGGCCGGGCACGCACCGTGTAGAGCAGGTTGAGGGCGCACAGGCAGTTCTTGGAGCAGGCGAAGCCCCCGCACGCCATGGCCGCTCCGCCGCCGCCGCCCCGCGCGGCAGCCGCTCCGCCAGGAGGCCGCGGCCCCGCCCCCGGCCGCGCGCGGGTGCGGCCGCAGCAGGTGAGCGGCGCCCGCTGATTGGCCGCCGCGGGGCGCAAAGGTAAATGTATGCAAATGAGGGCTATGACGTCAGCGCAGTCACCCGCTATCCGGTGGCTCGCGCTGCGCGGTGGGGCACGTTCCGCCGGTCCCCGTTGCGGTGACATCACGAGCCCCGCTCCCCGTTGCTGTGACGTCACGGGCCCCGCTCCCCGTTCCCCGTTGCGGTGACATCACGGGCCCCGCTCCCCGTTCCCCGTTCCCCGTTGCTCTGACATCACGGGCCCCGCTCCCCGGTCCCCGTTGCTCTGCCGCTCCCCGTTCCCCGTTGCTGTGAGGACACGATCCCGGGCCTCGCCCCCGCCCCGCCGCTGCTCCGTTCTGTTCCCCGCAGACGGCGCAGCCCTGTAATCTGTGGCCTCTGTAATCCCAAAGAAAACATCCAAGGATTTACTTGTAGGGCCGTGGAAGTATTCGGAGTGCTGGTAGTTCTACCAGCCTGTCATTGAATCGAGGTGGGAAGGGACCATCAAGTCCAACTGTCAACACAGAACTGCTGCTGTCATCTTATTTCTATTCTTAACATATCTTATTTATCTATTTATTTATTTTTACTAAATCATCTTTCTACTGCACCTTTTTACATATTTGTATATTTCCTTAGTTCGAGGGTTAAATATTTTCAATTACAATTATTCTGCTTTACAAACCCTTCCACCTGTATAGGTATGTCCTACTATTCAGTACCTAGTTTTTATTAAATGTTCATTTTTGACTTGAATGGTGTCCTGGTTCACTCCAACCATCCAAAATCCTATCTTCACAGTCCCTGTGGGCTGCAGCCTACTGAGTGATGCTTTAGAATAAATAGAACAGATCTAATATCTGCCAGGTATTCCAGTGTGGACATGTGTTGCAGGATTAGTGTCCAAGATAGTTTCTTGTCTTTTTTGCTGGGCTTCACAAAGAGACAAGGACATGCTTGTTCCTCCCTCGGGATGTCCATAACGGTACATGGCACAGTAGTTTTACTTTATCAGGTTTTGGTGAGGGAGAACTTGTTCCAGTTCCTAGTAAGCAAAGGAAACTGCATATACTTTCTGATGAATTCATGACAATTCTTAATAGGAACTTGTCATCAAAACAGTTTAGGGAGGAAATTCCAAAAGTGGGTTTTTTTCTGTAATTTGGCTGTCCTTCATCTGCTAAGGAAGCCCCAGCAGGCAAACAATCATTGCCAGCAGTGAGACGTTGAACAGCAGCACACTTTGTCTTTCCTAGTCTGTCACTCAAACTTTTCTTTTTAGTTTTTAACATTTTTTTCCATGCTTTTTGGTATTTTGCTAGACTTCTAGAATTAAATACAATACACTTTTTATTTTCTCATACAATAGCAAAGACTTGTTGCTCTTCTATTTATGTATACCTTTCTAGCTGCTAGACAGACATCAAATTCTGCAATATTTGTGACCACAAATTAAATCTGAATGCTGCTGAAGTTTTATGTTTCTTTGGTTCTAAACTTGACATCCCTGCTGCTGAAGCTTTGTGAAGTGACAGGAAGCGTTAAAAATCTGTTGAGATTTTTTTTCTCTGATAATTAAACTGACTTAATGTTGTAGCTAATTTGGCCTATTGGGAATGCAGATTTACTGACTGGAGCTACCGCATTACTGGGCCATGCTTCTGATCCTTTGGATCCAACTCTGGCAGAGCATAAACCAAGTATAAAAGTCGCTTGTTTCAGTGTAATTTTACTAGCAGCTTTTCTAACCAGTAAAGACTGGCTTCAGTAATTGTCCACTTGATAGAAAAGTGTATTTTGGATGTATGCCCTTTCCTAAACACAAGAAGCCGTCAGCATATCAAATGTTTTTGTTGGATTTTGTTGCAAATGCTAACATCTAGAGTTACAGTGCCATTGTTGCTTTGGTTATAGTGCTGAATTATTCAATACGATCATCCACTGCCCTTCTTTTTAGAAGATCTCTTTCACTGTTAATTATTAAAAGCTGTACCTCTGCTTTCTTAATTAATGCTGGTGTTCCTTATTAAAGGACCCAGCTCCTACAGCCTGTCATGGGTGGGAAGTACCTTTTACGTGTTCACTGCTCCATGTTCAGGTGGGTATCTCACCATGTGTGATGCAATGTGGCTCATACCCACCTCTGACCATAAACTCTGGGGCATAGTTCAGCTGATGTAAGCACTCAAAGGCTCCAGTTAAGTAAATAGATCTATGACAAGTGTAGCAGGGTTCCTTCCTCTACCCCCCTTCCAATTTTGTTCACAAGCTATAGTACAAACTTGGAATAATACGGTTTGGATTTAAAATAACACATTTGGTGATACAGCAGTCAGCTGTGCTGATGTCTGTAATTTCTGATGATGGTCAGGAGTTTGTCTGTGCTCCCATTTCACATCAGGCTTCAGCACTTAGCTTATATTTTTGCTAGAACTAAATTGGCTCAATTCTTTTAAATGGCTAATTATGACTTGCTAGTTGTGAAAATACTCTCCTGCAGTTGGAGGGAAATCTGTTATTCTTTGTAGGGAAAATACAGATCGCAGTACTTTGATATTTTTTAAGATTGTTTAAGTACCTGGTTCAAGTGAGGATCCTAGGTATTTGTCTTCTCAGCCCTTGTCTTTATAGGGGATAAATTCTGCACTCCCATCTGTTACACAAATCTTGAGCTGCCTGACATTACCAAGAGCAGAATACACCTTTTCCTTTTCTTTCCTCACTTTTTTGTCTTTCTGGTGCTTATTCTCTGCTTCCTTGCACAGTCTTTGTTCTCCTGCCCTTCTATGGTGTGTTTCAATGGCAGTGCTGGCAGCAGGAGGAGCCACAAATAGTGTGGATTAGTTTTTCTTTCATGGGAAACTGCAGTATAAGTGCTCCCCCCACTGCAGTGTAATTACAGTGGGCACTTGTAATGCTGCTGACGTGCACTTACAAGACAGTACAAAAAGTAAGTGTTTCTGCAAAGGGAGAGGGGAGTGGAAACACAGGGTTACTGGGGTTCAGTGCTGGTACACTTCTTACTAGTCCAAAAAGCTTAAAATGAAGCTGTTTGGGTGGTGTACTCTTCATTTCCCAGTAAACTCGCATCAGCTGGATTGTTTTCTGGAGGATTGCTGCATGAAGGCTTTTACTGTAACACACTAAATGAAAATTCAGCTTATAGCCAAATCAGTTCTGTGTCTGTAGGCTGTGGCCTCACGTGGGTACTGCTGGTTTCTGTTACCTATTATGTGCCTGAAACCTAAATGTCTGTGTCACTTCCAAGGCACAAATTTGAAAAGTGAAGGCTCAAGTACGTACAAAGTTCTCCTAAAATGTATGCTATTGTCTTAAAACTAAGACAGTGGGACCTTTTTTGTTACTCTACTATTATGGAGTGTCTAAAATGTTGTGAGTAATGCATTGTTTGCTGAAATTAATTTTTATCGCTTTATTTTTCCCAGGTTTACAATAGTCATTGACAGCACTTTAGATATTTAATTTCACTCTTTGTCTTGTAAAGTCATTTTTCTTCCTCTCATTTGTATAAAGTCTCTCATGCACATCAAAATCAGGGAGGAGGAAAGTAGAGTTTAAGAAAGCCAGGTGTTTCCAGGAGTCCTGTTTATTGTGTACAGTTGGCATATTTAGATGTTAGTTTGAGGTGAATAGTGTATATGCACAACAAGACAGAGTTCCAGCTGGCTTTACTTGGAATAAATAAAGTGCTTATCCTTCCTTGGCAGTTGACCATTAAAGCATGTTTCCATGCCAGTTAAGTATGCCTGAAGTTTGGTGATGACCATAGAATCTGTCAGCAAATGCTGTGAAGTAAAATGCTGCTTATCATCAATCGTTTTTCTCCATGGATATAGAGTTTCCAGTGTAATTTCTTGTGTCACTGGGCAGGAAAATCTGAGTCATCTCAATCACCTGAACTGCCTCATTATTGAGTCATGTCATTTGGTCATCTTAGTTGTCAGTAACCTATGACTGAACATATGGAATCAATTAAACATACACTTAAAATATTATCTGCTGCAACAATCAAAGTTTTTCTTTCTCAAATTCAGTGCAAATGTCCTGTGGACATACCCCAGTTATTTCCTGAGGTGTTAGTAATGAATTGGCTGTGCCTTGCTGTTTGCTTGCAGTCATGAAATTCCCCCTGCTTCCTGGAACAAAACCAGTTCCCAGCAGCACTATTGCACTCGTGCCATCCCATTGCCAACCTTAAAGAAGCCCTTTCTGGCACTAGGCAGTGAGGAATAGCATGAGTAGGCGTAGCTGTTGCGTGGATCTCTGCTGTCTTACAGGTTGACACACAAGGTGTTGTGGTGCTGGTTCCTTGTCAATGATCATTACGAGCCAGACATGGTGAGAGGCAAGCCTGGCATGCAGAATAAATTTGTCTGTATTCTTTGGATCAGAGAATCTTCTCTGTGGAGAAGAAAAATGTACAAAACTATTTGGCATTTTTATTTATTTCTTTAGTGAAGTGGAGCATTGTAGATTGAGAAAGGGAAATTAGGACAGGAAAATAGGCCATTTAAGTAGTGTGGCTAGAGAAACCCACAATTAGGTCAGAAATTAGCTCCTCCAAAAGCACAAAAACGTAGCTCCTGTTCAGCTTAATAAATCTAGCAAGTGATTACAAAGGACGTAATAGTTTGTTCATCTTTGCTCTTGGAGAGACAGATAATGAGTGTATTCTTTGACAAATTTTCTGACCAAAATCCAAATGGAATAAAGCTCTTGGATCGAGCCCTGGAAGTTAAATTGCTATTAGGAAACTACCTAGAAGGGAGACTTTCTCAAGCAGAAGCAGCTACAAGCAAGTGCAAAACCGTCGTCCTGGATGGAGTGGCTGTATGCCCAGCTTTGCTTTTTGAGCCATTCTTTATGATTCCCACCAGATATACTGTGCAGTGGTGGACA